TTGGCACTTGGTTCTTAAAGGCACCGTATCAACATCTGACTGGGTACCTAGTGGCTGGGCCACTGAAATGGATTGAATCATTTGGAAAATGGCACTTGGGGCCAGACCAGCAAGGGTATTTAGATACCTAAAGATGCAGAAAAGCCCTTGCAGGGTTTTAAAAAAAAACTTGGGAAATCAGTGGGTGTTTGGTGTCTAATCCGTTCAGGCTCTTTTCAGAATCCCACTAGATGCTTTTCCACATCTTTAAACAAATCCACCCCATAGGCTGCTGAGTCACTTAAGTGCTGTTGTGAAAAGTATCTGTAAAGTCTTTTATTTTCAGATACTTCTTCAAATGTACTATAGTACTACCACAGTTACTGCCGTCTGCCACCAGTCTGGTGGTGCCTATGAAATGACTTGGGGATAGGTGTCCTGGTCATATGCTCAGGCCTCATAATGGAGAACCTGTGCATATGACAAAAAGACCACCACAAGCACAGAGGAAGGGACATACAGACTATCCAAATGGGTTCCCAGGAAAGCCAGGCTATACCTGTTCTGTGGAGAGAGGTCTGTGTACCACAAATGACGTATCTAGTTGTATTCTGTGATGCCAGTAGGGCAGCATCTTTAATGCATCTTTAATAGCCACCAATCTCACTGATTATTTTTTTTTAACTCTACATAGGAAAGCTCAAATGTATGGGAAAGCTATGGAATATATTTGCATGCATGCTGCTTTTCTCTCCATTATACTGTATGTTATGGCGTGGGGTCACCAGGGACGGCCGTGATGCCCCTAGGGCTCTGTGACATGCCAATCTTGCCCCAATGGGCGCCCTTTTCCTTGCCTGTCATGTCTTGCTGGTAATTATGTTTGGACACAGTCCTGATGGACCCCACTGAACCCTGTGGGTCATTGTCCCTCTGAGGCCTTGCTATAGCTCAGCCTCTCCTTCATCACTGGGCTCTCCGCAGTCCTGTCTCTGCACCCACACTGGTGCTGTACCTGCTGACGGTGGGGTCTCCACATTGTAGTGTGGCCTCAATGAGACCTTCTCCTCCCCAGTAGCCTCGGTCCGGTCCACCGGATTATAAAAAAACAACCAAAATATAAGCACATGGGCTATAACATAATACAAGCAGTTCAGGGTGTGCTCTGTCCCTTTAAAAGAGTCAAACTTCCCCTGCAGCATTAAGTGCCTTGTAGCCCAGGGTACCCGGTGAGCTCCTGGAGCCCCATTAGTCCTATAGGCAGCATATCAGGCGGCCACAGCATCTCCAGGCAATTCTTCTCTGCAGGCTCCTTCCCCTGGCTGCTGCCAGAGAACTAACCCCTGCCGGCCTCAGCCTTGGGGTTTATATGTACCCAGGGCCCTTCCTTCTTCTGGTCAGCTGGTGCAGGCTAATTCCCTTGTTAACCTGCTGCCAGAGTAACCTGCACCTGTGGGGTTTCTGCCTAGAGCCTTCTCCCTAGGCAGTTTCTGCTCTTAAAGGAGCAGGCACTTTAGGGTCCTGCAACACTCTAGCAGAAGGCTTCAGGCTCCTGCTACTTTAAGGGCAGGCAGGCTGTGGCTGGGGCAGGCTGCAAGTGTGTTAGAAAAGCAATTAGGGGCAGGCTGCAAGTGTGGTAGAAAAGCTATTAGGGGAGGCCAGGACCAATTGTGGAGTCAGCTGACCCAGGAAGAGGGCTGGGTTTAGATGGGACACTGAGTGAAGCCAGCATTAAGATCCTGAGGGCGCAGGATGGCTGCAGCTCCTGAAGGCTAGCACAGAAAGTAGCACTTGTAGCAGGCTGGAGATTTGGGAAGGAAGTAAGGGGTAGAGGATGTTCCTGGGGACCCAATGAGGGGTTTGGAGTCCACAAAGCAAGGCTGAGTATAGGGAGGGGTCCAGGTGAGCTCAGAGAGAGGGGCTGAGTGTAGGGACCTGTTAAGTGGCCCAAGTGAGCCAACGGAGAAAGACCAAGGATGAGAGACCTAGTGAGGGGTCCAGGAAACCTGGAGAAAGGCTGAGTGTGTAAGACCTAGTGAGGTATCTGGAGCCCAGAGAGAGGGGCTGAGCCTAAGAGCCTAGAGAGAGGCTGACGGTAGGACCAGCAAGAGAGCCCAGGGGAGCCCAGGAAGGGTGAGACTGAGCTGGAGGCGCGGGGGCCAGGCCAGATCCCAGGACAGGGCAAACATGGTTAGAGCCCTAGGAGCAAGATTAAAGCCCAGGATTAGGGCTTGAGACCTGAGAGCAAGGCCAGAGCCTGGGACAGGGAAAACACAGTTAGAAGCCTACGAGCAGGGCCAGAGCCCAAGATGAACAGACTTTGGGAAGAATAGGCCTGAGGACAAGAGGAGTTGAGAGAGAGTGGGACCAGCAGGGTCCAGAAGCATGGAGAGGGGCACAATGTGGGTGAGACCAGAGGATGCAGGCCCAGAGAGGGCAGAAAGTGGGACCTGAAGGGTCCAGAAGCCCAGAGAGGGGCTGAGAATGGGACATGGGATCCAGAGTCCTGGATGAAGGGCCAAGTGTGTTAGACTGAGAACAAGTGACATCCAGTGATAACACCTGCAAGGCAGGGGGCATGGTGTAGGGGAGGATAGAGCCACGCAATTGGCCCTTAAGGCAGTGATCATCACAGATACATGGTGGTCATGTGCCAGAAGTCAGGTTTGGGAAGCTCTGGGGCAACCTCCTTTATATAAATAACCATTAACATCAAGGCATGGCAGGAGAGAGAGAAGAGGTGATGGCCCAGAGAGAGAGAGAGAAAGCAGGGTAGAAAAAGGTTGTTTTTTTTTTTTAAAAAGTGCCTCTGGGGGCTTTGCAACCACCCCTGGAGAGAAAGGTTGGTTACATATACCTTTAAATTCTGACGGAGTCTGTCTGCTGTGAGGGTGTCCATTAATGGGAGGCAAAATAAGTGCAGCAGGTTAATGGACTGATATACACATACACTCCATGAAATCTTTCATTTTGGTCCTTCTTTGTTATGTTTTTCCCTTAATCTAAGTTTAAAAAAAAGGAATTCTGCTTAGAAAGTTGCTCCCTTCTCCTGGTGTATAGAAATGGATATCCCCCTCCAAAAAAATCCCCAGATATAGTTAAAGTAAATAAATGCCATAGAGATAAGACTCGGGAGCAAACATGCCTGAGATGGTTATTCTAAACAATAAATTGGACAGGACGTCCCCAGAACAGAGTGCAAACTGCCATAGGAACTGGAGAGGACAGGACACTGTCTCATCTCACCTTGCTTCCTGATGCACAGCTGTCACTTTTGTCTTGCTGCATGGGCTGAAAGGAAATACCTTTATCTTTGCCAAGGAAAATGTTCTATGAAGTGACCTCTGGGTTCAACAAACAACTGTCCAGTCCCAACACTACAGGCCAGAATCGGCTGCTTTAATAAACTGCATCAGACACACAGTGTGGAGGAGAACTCCTAAGGATTAGAGAGGAAGCGAAGTGGAGATGGAGTGAACCCCGCCAATGAGCACTTCACATCCCTCCTGAGCCTGCTTAATCTCTCAGTAAGTATATACATTGGCTGTGTGCAAATACCAAAGGAAGAGCTCACATTGCTCACACAGTTGGTTACCTCCTTCAGCCTGTACCGACCCCCTATCCAAGTGCACTCACAGTCAGGGCAGAAGTAGATTCAACTGAGTGTTTTGATAGACTCATCCTCACTGGAAACTTCGAAGCACATCACAGTCAAGATAATCTGAGTTTAAATATAACGGCATCCATTGAAGTGCAGGAACCACACCCATCTGAGCAAACAAGACCATTAAACCCTGATCCAGGAAACCAGAGACTGCTGCCAGTGCTAAGAGGATTGTGCAGATGTAGCGGCTAAAAAAGGTCAGGTTCCAGGAGCATGTATCTGCTAACAAGTATTTCATCATGCAGGTGTTATAGGGATGTTGCATTGGTTGCATTGTGTTGCATTATCATAGGAAAGTAGGGCTGGAAGGTACCTCATAAGGTCATCTAGTCCAGCCCCCAGCTTGAGGTAGGATCGCCCTTTGTTAAACCCTCCCTGTCAAGTATCTGTCCAACCTGCTTTTGAACATTTCCAGGGATGGATATTTCACATCTTCACTGGGTGCTCCTGTTCCAATGCTTCACCACACTCATAGTCAGAAAGTTCCTCCTAATCGCCAACCTAAATTTCCTCTGCTGGAGATTGAGGACATTGCTCCTACTCCTGTCCCCTACAGACCCAAAGAAAAGCCCATCTCCGTCCTCTCTATAATCGCCCTTCAGATATTGAAGACTGTTATCAAATCTCCACTCAGTCTTCTCTCCTCCAGGTTAAATTATCCTGGTTCTTGCAGAGAGCTTGTCCACACGGCAGCAGCAGCTGCCCTTGACAATGGCAGAGCAGAGCACGCTCCATCCCAGCGCCTCGCACCCGAGTCCAAAGGCAAACTTCAGACCTCGATGGCCATGAGGGAGACTCTCCAGGCTTGTCTCCCTGGGATGGATCGTGAGCATTTGGTTTTCAGGGAGCCCTGAGAACAGGCGCTCTGAACAAGCCTGGAACGCCGTGCCTGGGGAACTTCTGTGTCTGCAGACTCGGGCCGTGGGTACGGGCAGAGCAGGCTCGGCTCTATCTTCACTGGGATCCACTTCTGTAGAGGTATAGACAAGCCCAGAGAAGCCAAGCCTTTCATCTCTGCTTCTGTGTGGCATAAATCATCCAGCCCCTAAGCTTGAGACTGAGTTGGCCAATGCTCAATGTACCTCTCATTGGTTTTAACCATATCACCAACCCAAGTGCCCCATGGCAGGGGGTTGGACTTGATGATCTGTCAAGGTCCCTTCCGACCCTACAAACTATAAAACTATTAAATACACCCTCAAAACTCAAAGGAGTATCTAAAAATGATAACATCCAGTGATATAATAAATGTTGGGGGAGGGGAGGTTGTATTTGAGTTTTTAGGGTGTGTTCAATTCATGCTTTCAGGAGATTCTCCTCTCTTGTAAATGCTGCAAATTTACTTTTTCTTCTACAGATTCTCACATATTCACTTGCCTACAAAAAGCAGGGCTTTAAGAGAACACCCTCAATATCCTGGGACTCACAAGAGAGACGGCAAGACTGTTCTAGCTGGAGTTGTAAGTGCGCTGTATATCTGAAACAACAGACTGACTAGATAAATGCTAACACTTTGGCCACAGCTCAGTTGTCCATGCCAGAGTCATTGCTGAAATTTGTACTTTGGAGTCTGACACGTAGATGTGTGCCGGTTCTCTGTCTGTGCCACATTTTGCAATAAAGATGGTTCCAAAAATCTGTAATTTTGAAAAATAATTCTCATAAAGACTAATATGATTTAAGTAAGCACGTTACTGGAGAAATACCCAGAACAGTTGGTTTGAGAACTCAGACTTTTCTAAACTTAATATTTCCATATGGCTACAATGTAATTTTAGATTTTTAGTGGCTTTCCTGCCTTCTCTGCTAAATTTGTAAAACAAATCAAAGGTACAGGCACAAATAAATTAAGATTAAAAAAGCAAGATGCCTGCAGTGAATGTTTGATTGTTCCCACATGAAATGACTATTCTTTCTGCAAATTCCCCTAATCCTCTGTGAAACATTATTTCAATTGTCACGGGGATGTTTGCGGGATGTTGCAAACAGATGATTATAATAATCTTTTTAGTATAAATAATAAGCAGGAAAAGGGGGGGAAATGAAGACTCGGAGTTTTATATATTTTGTGAAATACAGGATTATCTTGGCTAAGAAAAGATGAATATCAAAATATTGGAAAATGTTTGAATTCTTATTGAATTGCGCGATGCTTCTAGCACTTGTACATTTATCCCACAGGAGTTCCTTTGTACCGTGCGTACTCCTGTTGCTATGTGCCCTATTGAAAAGGCCAGGCTGTCTGTAGAATGCGGATTTGCCGAGTTGTGATTCTTTTAACCAAAGGTGTATTTTTAAATTGATTTCTTTTAGCCAGTGAAAACCCCTGCCTGGGACCCTTTTAAATCAATTTAAACTTGCTTGATATTGATTTAGCTTTGGCTGATCCCTTACCGATGAAAGGTAAATTGATAAAAGTCTGTTTTATAGCAATTCAAGAAGAGTTTTTACTAGCTTAACTGAATTAAGTCAGTTTGTCAGCAGCAACATTACACAGCGGATTCAAACAGAGTGAGTTTTTTTTCATGCTGCCTGCAAGAAGCCAACCAGCTAATGCATAGTCGGTGGAATGGTGGCTATGCTTTACTAGTTTGTATTTTTAAGTATCAACTCCACCAAGTCTGCGTAGTCTCCAGCCTTCCCCTGCATGGGCTTCAGTATTTGTGAAGCCTGTGGATCAGGAGGAGCAGGCTCTCTGGAGGAGAATAATGAGGATCCATAGGAAAGTAAGCCTGGAAGAGATGAGGCAAAGTCATCTAGTCCAGCCCATCCTGGCCAAGTATCTGTTCAACCTGCTTTTAAACATTTCCAAGGATGGAGATTCCACAATTTCTCTGGGTAGCCTGTTTCAATGTTTGACCACCCGCATAGACAGAAAGTTCCTCCTAATCGCCAACCTAACTTCCCTCTGCTGCAACTTGTGGCTATTGCTCTTAGTCCTGTTCCCTACAGCCACAGAGAGAAACCCATCTGCATCCTCTCTATAATTGCCCCCCCAGATATTTGAAGATTATTATCGAATCCCACCCCCAATCTTCTCTTCTCCAAACTAAATAACCCTAGCTCTTTCAGTCTTTTCTCATAAATCAGGGGCAGGCAATTATTTTGGGCCGAGGGTCGCTTACTGAGTTTTGGCAAGCCATCAAGGGCCACGTGATAGGCAGCCAGGGGCAGATAAATATTAATTTTCTAAATTTTTTAAGGGTCCCATGGGCCAGATACAATGGCCTGGTGGGCCACATCTGGCCACCAGGCTGCATTTTGCCCACCCCTGTCATAAATCATTGCTTCCCCGTCCACTAATAGTTTTGTTTGTCTGCACTTGACTCTTTCCAATCTGTCCACATCCGTCTTGAACTGTGAGGCCCAAAACTGGAGATAGTGCTCTAGGTGAAGTCTCACCAGTGCGGGACAGAGTAGAAAAATTACTTCCCTTGATTTGCAAATGACACTCCTGTTCATCCAACCCAGGACAGGATGCTGTTGGCTTCTCTTTTTTTTGCAACAAGAGCACAGTGTTGGCTTATATTCAGCTTATGCTCTAGTGTAATCCTCAAGTCATTCTCTGCAGTACTGCAGCCCAGCCAGTCATTCCCCAGTCTGTATTTGTGCACATTATCATATTACAGCATTCGTTACCTCTTGCTTTCCTGGATAGAAAACAGCATATGGAACCATGTGAAAATGCCTTACTACAACCCCAGGATATAGCATGGCTGAAGCAAGGCTTGCAAACACACTTAGGACAGGGGTTTTATTGCAGCCATACAAGTGGGAATAATAGCTAGGCTGGGCCAGATGTTCCCTCTCATTTTCTGTCAGGGTGGCACGACCACAAAGACATATCCTTGGAAGCGAGGGAAAAAGGAAGAGATGAAAAGATGGCAGGAAAGGAAGGAGCAAAAGTGAGAGCGAGACATGGGTAGGAGTGTGGAGCAAGGTTACCCCTTGAGCAGTTTCTATCCCCCTCCCTAGCAGATAACAGCAGACGCAACCAGGGTAAAATGCAACTCTGAAGCTTCCTTCCTTCCCCTTTTTCCAGCCAGCAGCATCAGAGGGAAATCCTTCTGTGTAACAGATATCAACCTCTGTTTGGGGCCAGAAGAATAAGCGCTGGTGAGTAGGCAACTGTCAACCCTCTGGATCATGGTGTAGTCTATTCAGATGCCAGTTGAATCCATTTGTGGCTGACAAGCCCAATTGGAGAGCAACACAGCTTGTTACAAGTTTAATGGATCTATGTGTTGTCTGAGTAGGAGTCCAAGTTTATAGTGCACTGCTTTCTTCTTTCTTGATTTGTCTCCATCCTCTAGATCAAAGCTGCTTCATGTTGAGCTGCCCCCAGTTCCCGATGTTCCCTCCAGATCGGACAGGATTCTGCACCCGGCTTTCTATGTTGATATTGAACAACTTCATATCATTTTTGCGCATATTGTGGTACCAGGGTAGAGAGCAACCCTGCTTTCTGGAGCCATCTCGAATCTCGCTATACAAAATATTCTTGGGGATATGGTTTCCTCCTATTGTCTTGACATGGCCGATCCAGGATGACATGACCAAGTGATGGTGAAACTACTCAGGTACTGGAGAGCTTTGGCTACAGCCCGGGTCTAAAAGGGTTGGATTGTTTTATGACAAGGGGAGAGTTGCATGTGATCTTTTCATTGTGAATGTTTTCTTCCAATCAGATAATGTTGGTGGGGAGGTGAGACGGGGGTCAGGGAGAGGAGAGTTACACAGGTTTATTTAAAATAAAACTGTCATGAAGCCTTTCTCTCTGTTACTGACACCATTTAATGTTTAACCTGTCTTCTCCAGGACCTCAAAATCCTCAAGAATGTATCCATTGTTCTTTGCTATATAACCTAACAGATGCAAGCATTTATTTAAAAATAAAACATCTGGACTGTTCACTGGCTGGGCTGGTGTTTCACCCCAATATGATTAGAAACAGCTGACTTGTGAACCATAGGAAACCAAGTAAAAGGAAGGGAGTTGAGAACAGGAATATGGAGGGGATCTTAACTATGGATTTGTGGCAGGAAACAAAAATATAAGATTGATGGTTGCATAATCTGGTCAGTCTCCAGCAGCAGCGTGAATAGTAAGAAGCTCTCCTGCTAATGCCATGTGTCTCTCATTAAGAAGGTGATATAAATAGCAAGGACTTACTATAGCGCACGTATTCAAATTCCACTATTGACCATCATGCTTACACACATGCTAATCTAATATAGTCCCATTGTCTACTCTCTGGGCATGTCTCCAAATGCAATTCATGTGCCTGAAATTTTTGCACAAAATAAGGCTCATTAAAGTACTCCAGGGAACATGTCTACACGTGTACCCTCATTGGGAGCAAACTTCACCTCATCCACTGCAGCAGCCAAGGGAAGCTTCAGACACCCCTGGGTGCCAGCCCCAGGGTTGGCAGGGGACACAGGGACCAGTCCCAATCCCCACATGGCTAAGAGAGCCATCCCTGCTGGGATGGCTCTCTTGGCCATGTAGGGATCGGGATCTTCCCAATCTCCACATGGCGGACAGGCAGCATTCCCATCCATCAGGGACAGCTCTCCCAGCCACATGGGGATCGGGAGGGTCCCAATCCCCACGTGGCTGGCAGACAGTGTCCTGCTGAGATAGGACAGCTCTCCGTGCCCCTTGTGGCCCCCTGATTGGAAGCAACTTGCCCCTGCTCAGTATCTATAGGTGCACTACTGTGTAGTAGCTAATGTGCTGTTAATCTAATATCTGTATCTGTTGTACTGTACCTGTATCAGTACTAGCAAATGGCATATTAGCCTAATTTACTGTGCGCTAAGTCCCGTGCATGTGTAAACTCTGATGCTTTACTGCGCATTAGATTAGTCTAATGCACAGTAAAGTATCTCATGTAAATGCACCCACAGTGCATAAAGGACAATGTTTTAATGTAGCCTTTAAAGTTATGCATATGCTTGAGATTTTGCAAGTTCAAAGCCTTGGAGATTATCATATTCAGGAGAGGAAAAAACCAGGAACAGTGAGAGACTGAAGCAGCTCACTCTCTTCAGTTTATCAGAAAGTAGATCAAGAGACAATTTGATTACAATGTAGAAGTACTTACACAAAAAGAAAATACCCAGTACCAAAGGGTACTTTAATCTAAGAGAGAAAGACAGGAACCAATGGCTGGAGGCTGAAGCCAGATAAATTCCAATTAGATATAAAGCACAGGATTTTATCACGGTGGGTGATTAACCCTTGTAATGGACTACCAAGAAATCTGGGTGGGGGGGGTTCTCCATCTCTCAACTTCTCCATCCAGAGTAGATGTGGAACATGTATACAGAGGTTGCAGGTGAAATTCTGTGGTCTGTGTCATATTAGAGGTGAGAGTAGATGATGTGTCGAGACCTTTTACTGCCCTTAATATATTCTAAAGCTTGCATACGGAAAATAAATCAAAAGCAGGGCACCATTTTTGGCATCCCTACCAATTTTAATGATTGATAGAATGTGAATGTAGGTTTATTGAAAAAAGAAAATTACCTCTTCGACCAGGTTTCATCAATCTCCCCCCCACCCCCTGCACCCCACCCCCAATAACCAGGAAAAGGAGAATTGTATGCTCTTTGTACACAATAAACAGCATTCTGTTTTATAGAGCTCCAGTAGCAGTAGCAAGCACAAGGATTTTGTTTGCATGAATCTTAAATAATATCAAAATAGTTTTGATCACAGCGATGACCTGATCATGTATAGCACCCCTTACTTTCAACATGTACTGACATGAATTTTTGAAGACTGTCAGGGATACAATCAGTGAGATTAAAATATCCCTGGAACCTGTCAGGGGGCAGTAGGTGCACCAATGCCCATAGCTCTCCGACTATTACCCTGTGTTCTGTATACGGCTTTTTAGATTATCTAACAGCCCATCTACAGTTCGGGCTTGATCCAGAGCTCTGTTAAGTCACTGAAAAGATTCCCATTGACTTCAGTAGGTGATGTCTGGCAGAGTTTGCCCTTTGTCTGGCAGGGTTCACACAGCGTGGTGGAGTCTATGAAGGAGATGCACATGCTGTGCTCTCTCAAAGAGAATGTACTTCTGTTCTTTCTTGCTTTGTTGTTTTCCTTATTCTGAAGTAAAGTCAAATAAAAAGCCTTTTAGATTGAAAGTGCAGGTTTGTTCTTTTTCCATGGAAAGTGTAACAATCACATTAGTGAATTGAGAGTGTCCCCTAAGAATATTGTGGATTTAACACACCTGACTGATGGGCAGGAATGGGTAGAGTCTAAGCTCTTGTGGGCAGCAGCTGTCTCTGTTCTGCTGTTTGTATATCTCCAAGCATCAAAGCCCCCCCTGCCCCAATACAAGCAGGGGTGGATCCAAGGGAGTGCACTGATGCAGTTGTACCCCTCCTTTGATTTTTGCCCCACCTAAACTTGAAAACCAGTTGCCTGGGCAGGAAAGTAGCATTTCTATTCAGGCAGTGCTGACACAGTCAGTTGAATTCATAGTTCCTTATTTTTCTCCTGATTCCTGTTAATCTCTCTACTCCACAGGTGTTAATGACCCTCTATCCTTTTTAATAGTCTTGATGTTTCATTATCTTCTATCCTTTCTTCTGCAATGTTGCTGTCTGTTAGCCATTCCTGGCAACCTCTCTGTTCTATTTTACAGCCCTGCAGACTGGCTTTAGCTCTAGCTAGAAACTTTGACTCAGGTGGGGTAATATTAACTCAGGTGTAGAAATGACTGACAATGAAGTCGTGGAGCCACTGTCAAGGCACTCAAGAAGGCTAGATTTTATTTTATGAATCTGAATGAGAGATATACATCTTAACTCTAATGGCTGGTTGAGGGTTGGAGTAGACCTCTGGAGGTCCCTTCCAGCCCTGTTTCTCTATGATTCTATGACTACAGGACTAATGATAGAATATCCTTTAACTCTTTTTTGTCTAGTTGGTTGTGTTCTTTTCAACTTTATATATAATCTAGCAAATTAGTGCATATTCCAATAGTTATATTTCTTTTTCCTTTGATCTTAAACTGAATAATATAGTGCTACCATATTAATAAAGTTTCTGGAGAAAAATATATGTTGTGTTATATGTGACAAGTGCCATGCCATCTTCACTCTCCTTTTCAAAACCCTAGATCTGCCCATGGATACAAACGATAATACTGTCCAGAGTACAGAGCGCCTAATGCAGTGAGGTAAGGGGACGAGATACAAGGATGTGCGAGTGAGGGGTCTCTAGAGAGGTGCTGTGTAAGCAAAGGGCTGTATCAACTTGGGGATTTGTTTCTCTGAAACATTTGCTTTTTAATTGCTTTCCCATTGCTTGCTGTATCTGTATGTATAGTGTTATACGTGACGGCTAGTACTTGTGTAGTCTACTGTGGTAGCATCCTGATTTGGGGGCATCATCCACAGGAGCATCCCCACCCAAAGGATCTTCCACCCCAAGCCCCCAATTTCTGTAGTCAGAACAAGAGAAGTCATCAGGACTCTGCACAGTCATTATTTTAGATATATAAGGGGGAAAGGAAAGGGGGAAAATACCAAATTGAGGCATACAAAATGTCACACATAACATATAGTGGGGCTCAATCCTATGCCGATGCAGACCAGCTCGGTTCTAATGCAGTCAATGGAGCTCTGCAGATATATACAGTTAAGCATCTGGCCACAGGTGCCTAATTATAATGATGGACCTAGTTTTGCTGTTCTAACCACACAATTTGGACCCCCTTTTAGGGATAGGGAGATTGCAAGGAACTTAAAGCTATTCCAATTATTCTTTACATGATGCGACAAAAAAGGCTAAGCAGGAAGAGTTCTGGTCCACAGTTCTGGTGGGGAGCAATCTGGGGAGGTCAGAAGGAGCAAGCTTTGCTGTAAATAATTGCTGGAAATAGTTTTATAAGTAGGCTATCTACCTGCCCCCTTCACCCCAGGGCGAGATGGCAGGCTGGGCTGCAGACACTGCTCCCTGGTTAGTTCCCCATAACGTTAAGTTTAATTTGACTAAGTGTTAATAGATTAAACTGGATCGCAGCTCATGTTCTGTTGTGGAAACACGGCTCTTCCTCCTTTTTAAAATGGAATTTCTCAAAAAACAAAAAAAGGAGCTTCCCTAAAAACCTACATTTTTGGAACATTCATCTCAAGAAAATGTTATTGCATAATGTGACAGATTGCATGAATGTTGTAATAATAAACTCTAGCTCTTACATTGCACTGTTCATTCCAGATATCGCCTGATGCCCTGGAGATGGCCTCTGTTCAATGATAACATCAGCCCTTCTGTATCATTGTACCAATCAAAGAAGGCAGTACTGTAGGAAAACATTTTGATTTAACCATTTGCTAGATCAAAGTCCTGTCCTGCAGCCTGTAGTCACATCGTATCACATAATATCTTCAGTCCGTAATGGTTTCAGTGTCATATGATATACAACCGGTTTTATGACATACAGCCTGTCATATGATATACGCTGATATACTGCGTTCCAAATTTCAAAACAGGCCTCTAAATTTGTGCCTATGAAAAACGAGCCTATTTTTGCACATGTGAATCAGAAGTATAATTCAATTAC